AACTCTTGAAAGAGTGAATATTTTTCAATGCTCTTGGTACCATTGGATAGAGAATTAAAAACGCTACAAGATGACAGAAAAATCAAAATTTTCGACTTCTCGGCGAAAAAGTTATGGTCTAAAAACTAAAATTTTTTCTTAAAAAATGTTGATTTTTGGTACATTATCTATCATAACTTTTGTGTCAGTGAGTCAAAAATTTTGATTTTTTCAAATCTTTTAGAGTATTTAATTCTCTATCGAATGATACTAAGAAAATTGAAAAGTATACACATCTTGAGAAGTTATAAGTAGGGAGTGGCAAAATATGCACGGAAAATCCCAAAATATTCGCATATATATGCACCGAAAAAGCCCAAAATATGCACCAAAATATGCAAAATTTGCCAAAATATGCACTAAATATGCAGCAAAAATAATGATAATGTGCTTTAAAGATCAATATCCCAAGTAAAAAATACTAATTTAGCATTTAAATTGCAGTTTAAGAGCACTTCTAAAAGATTTTATTAATTAAAACTCAACCAAAAAAATTTTTTTGAAGGAAATTTTTCCCGAAAAATTTTTCGAAAAAATTTTTTCAACAAATTTTCGTCAAAAAATTTTTTGTTCAAAAAATTTTTAAATTTTGCCCGATTTTTACTAAAATTTTTCAAAAAATGCCAAAATATGCACAAATTTAGGTAAAAATATGCAAAATTTCCCAAAATATGCCTCGATATGCAAATATGCACGAAAGTACTGAAATATGCAAAAATATGCTATAGGAACCCGGTCCCTAATGTTCGTACCGACCTAAAAACACCATTTTTGAGCGTTTCAGCTCAAGGCATATCCGCATGCAAAATATGCATTTGCATGTTTTGCCACTCCCTAGTTATAAGGGATGGACTCAACCATGTTTGGACTCAACTGAGGCAGCTAGAAATTAGTTTAGAAAGGCTTAAAATAAAATAAAGTGACTGGAAAAAGAGAAAAGAGAAGAAATGAATGGAATGCCAAGGAACGCTATTAATAAAGCCAAAAATTCTCATCTGGAATGAATAAATGAATTCCGCAAGGGTGGAAGGAGTTGGCAGTTAAAATGTCAGTTACAAAACTAGCTAAAATCACATTCCATTGAGTAAAGCTAAGTAAAAACTAAAAATAATTTCTCTCTATTTTAATTTAAAAAATATTTTTTTAACGTTTTGGAGGCAATAAAATTCGGTAACATTAAATAGACGTTGATCAAATTTAGCAAAAAGAAGTGTTCCCTTCGCTCTACTCGTAGAGCGACGGAAACATCTTATTTGAGGAGGTTATTTAGCCACTTTATGACTGATTTAATTTTTGTGAAGTATATAAAAACTACATAAAATCCACTATTTTAATTCAGAAAAAATATTTTTTTTCTGAATTTTAAGAGTCATAAAATGGTACTGAATTAAAAAAGTATTGTGAGCAAAACACAATTCCCTTCGCTTTATAAGTAAAAAGAAAGGAACATCTTTCACTAACTATTTTTTTCAAATCTTTTAATAAAGTCGCCCATGATATCCTACATAAATCAACCCGAAAATTGAACAAAAAAATTTTTAGATTTTCCTCATAAATGCTGAAGCTGTTCCTTAGCAAAATTCATAACGCCTCAAATTCAAAACACTTCCATCCACATATCCACGGATATACCGCCATTAATTTTGCTATTCCCAATCAAAATTCATAGCACTTGCTTCCACAAGGGCTATATCGCTATTAATTTAACGACATTTATTGTAGCGATATATGTATACGAATCCGTACTCAGTTTAACCTCTTAAAACCCTCCTTATTTTCCCAAACATTATTTACACTTCTACAAGCTTTCTAACAATAATATTTACATTCTTGTATTGCTAATTAAATAACAAGTTTTTTCTTAGCTTTTATTTTCTCGCGCCCTTTACATGCCAAACCTTTTGTTTCCTCCCACGCTTAAATACAACTTTTTTAGTCCAAACAAAATTGGAAGTAAAATTGTTATTATATTTATTACAATTTTGGCTTTACCCCTGTCATTTATCCGCTCTCTTAGAATACTTGAAGGGGATACTTTAATTTTGAAGGGGATTGTTCTCTTCACTCTACGCATAGGGCGAACGGAAAATTTTGGGTTTGCTCATTGTGATTATTATATTTTAGCATTTTATCAACGCGGAAACTATTAGAGGGTAACTCGAACCCTCTTACAAAAATACATTACATTGTTACATTTAGGCATGGACTCATCTGCCTATCAGGCATCATAGTTACCCATATAAGCAGGCAAAAATATTAAATTGTATACGTTGTAAAAGAAAAGGGGCTAGGTACAATTTTGATAAACAACTTTTTCCTTATCATTTCTCTCTCTAATGCAATCATAATTTGTAGAGGACGCTTCAGAGTAGCCGATTCAGATTATAAGTAAGAGCAGTGAAAATTGAAGAAGGGATAAGTGAGAGATTTGACAAAAAAGGTGTGTATATACTAATCGAGATTCGACTGTACTTCCCTAAATTATATCGAACTCAGAAAATTTTCGAATTTTTTGAACATATTTTGGCATTTAAATACCCTAAAATAGGTACTAAATTATTAATATTTCGGATAAGAATTACCGTTCTATATGAAACAAAACAATACTAGAGGGTCAATTAAACCCTCTTACAAAAATAACTTCGGCGCATTTCTACACGGGACCCATCTGAATTTTGTTAAACATAGCTACCTATACAAGCAGGCATAAATGCTTAATTTTATATGTTGTAAAGAAAAGAGCTAAGCAGCTGTAAAACTTGATAAGGTATAAATTTGCTTTAACTATCCTCTGTGTGATAACACAAAGATTTCTTTCACTCTCCTTATTTTGGTCGAAAATTAATGCATCATCTAACATCCATCTGCTCATTTTATGAGTGTCTTTTCCCTCACTCAAGTCCCCTTTGAAAAACCTAATTAAGTCCGCTTTTCCCATCTATCTCTTTTTTGGCCTTTTCTCATCTTTTTTTACTTTCTCCTTATCTATTCTTTTGCAGAGCTTTTTGGTTTTTTTTGTTTTTTTATATTTTATATTTTATATATGAAGCAAAAATCAACTAAAAGTCAAAAGCCTTGTGCCGAGCGATAAAAATTTTATGCTTTTGTGGAGTCAACTTTGTGTTAAGGGAAAATAGAGTAAAGGATAAAAAATTATAACTAGCGGAGAAATTTTCTGGGAATTATTTTTATAGGCTTTGGATTGTAAGAAGGGTTGGACAAATTGACCATAAGCAATTTGTCCAACTGCCCACGTCTTCTTAAATACCTAACAAGACAATTTATCATACTTAAGGCATTTTTTGTGTATACCCGCTTAATTCCCGAAAATTCCCAAAAATCGAAAATTCCCGACATTTTTATGTCGGGATCCCAAGTTCCGTAAATCTGGAGGCAAAATACTTCACACACTTTTTGAATTTTTTTCACCACCCGCCTTTGTTTACTGAAAGTGTCGTAGTAGGGTCAAGATTGATATCTTTAAAAACCTCAATCTAGAGTCGAAATCTCTCTTTTGGTTCAATCTCTCTTACTTTTCCCATCCCGCCTTTCCTTTAAACACTTTTTACCCCCTTTAGTTCAACTCTCTCATCGCCCTTTAACCACAAAATAAAAAAATTTCCAACCACAGCTTATACTCATTTGTTCATTTTCCCCCATTTTTCATCACTTTTCCACTTTTTCCGTTTAATTAGCTTAGTTTTGACGCAAAAGCAATTTTGTTCTGCTAAATTTTTGCGCGCCTTTTTTAGAGGCAGACACTAAACTCTTTTTATTTTACGTTGAATGACGCCACTTGGGAGAGCTCTATAAAAGGGAAAAAAGGTGTTGTGAAATGACGAAATGAGTTTTTATGAAAATCCTCGGGTTTTTTACACTATTTAAACAAAAGAAAGGACTCAATACTTAATAAAAAAGCTTTGTAAGAGTGCAAATATCCAAAATAAATGAGAGTTGCAGCCCAACTCCGTACCCAGACACCGTCAAAAATTTTTTTCAGATTTTCCCCGACTCGAACGCTGCCCAGAAACAATTTGAAAACAAGTACCCCGCTACACCGACCCCTAGCGTTCGGGGTGCAATCCTAAAATAAACTAGAATAGGTCAGCATGGTTCTAAGCATTTTTATTCCCGAAATACTTTCAAAATTAAAGAGCTGTACTTTTAAGTACACCGAATTAATGTTCCCTTTGCTCTATAAGTAAAGTAAAAGGATAGGCTCGCGCTATAAATTTAAAAATTCTAAAATTAAGTATCAGTCAATGGTACAGTGTTGTTAGTAAAATTTTAGTATTTTCGGTACTCATTAATACCAGACTTTTTAGTACTGCCGGTATGAGCAGTGTTTTAAGCATCACTCGATTTCGCAAATTTGTTTTAAAATGTTTCCTTAACTTTATTTATATACATAATAGAGCTACTTACACTATTTAATGGTACTTAATATTCAAAAATAAATTAAAAATTTATTTAAATATTATTTCGGTTTTTTACGTATGAAATTTTCCGCATATAATTTTCGTATTTTTGGCTAGGGATTATGTATCCCTAAATGATATATGTACAAAATAAGGGACACGCCCGAAATGTCGCGCGGCCATAATGTCGCCGAGCCATAACTTGCTTTAAGGTTTCCTAATCTTTCCAAATTTAGTCTTAAACGATTCCTCTCATCGAGCTAAAGAGATTGGTACCAAGATTGATAAGGGCCAGAAATTTTTTAGCAAGTTATGGCTTGGCGACATTATGGCCGCGCGACATTTCGGGCTGTACCCACAAAATAACGAATAATTTTGTTTTAAAAATCCGAATTTTGCTAAATTAAATTTTTGAGATCCCGGGACGTAAACGTCCCTTGTCCCGAGACGTTTATAAGCTCGATTCGACTAAAATAAAAACAAAAAAGGTTAAATTTGAGTCGGTGTATGATTTTTTAATTTGGATATTTTTGTTCCCTTTTCATGAATAAATCACCATTTTTACAGAAATTCTTTGGCGGCTCTTCAGAGCTCGGCGAGCCTTTATTGCCAACACAAACAAGTAGTAGCTGTAAAAGTCAACACCAATCAGTAAATAAAAACACAAATTTGCCGCCACCGCCAAGGTGGTCGGCTGCGCCGAATACTTTTAATAAAACAACAACTGCAGTAAATAGTGCAGATTCATTAATTTTAGAACCTAAAAGAAGTATATCGCTTTATTCTGTAAGATTTTCGTTTTTAAATTTAGAAATAGGATCCATTTTATTCACAATTTCGGACGCTAAAAATTTAAAACAAAAACAAATTTATTTTACTTAATATTTATAAATGCATTTAAAATTTTATTTAACTTTTTTAATGCTCACAATACTAGTATAAGTAGATTGTTCAGTAAGAATTATTTTTGGCTAGGGTGGTTTAATCCCTAAATAATGATTCGCTAACGAAAAATCAAATCAACAGTCTGTAAAAATTGTGTTTGAGGAAACCAATTGAGGTCTGATAAAGTCCGTTCCAAAAACCTCCACATTTACAAATTGTGCGATTAAAGTGACGGATCTCTTTAGGACATCATCCCATGATAATTTTAAAAATTATGGGAATATAAAATTTCATATTTAGCAAATTTAACGTGTTGTCATAATAATTAATTATCCCTAAGTGCAGGAAACGCACTAATAATAAATTCCTTTTTATTTAAAAAATCCTCACGTAAATCCTCCCTTTCCTTTTCAGGACGTCAACGCAATCGACTTTTCCCCTTCAATTGAATCTACTCAACAACCACTCTCAGTTTTCAACCAAAATGGGAGACGTTCTACTTCCCCTTTGAGCGATCGCCGAGTTGCTTTTCAAGAGAATAATAGAGGGACTGAAAGGGGTAATTTAAATTTGAACTTTTTAAATGAGGTTACTGAATCAAGACCGCGACCATGAAATCGCAGTTATCGAGATTCAAATTTTTATTTTTGTATGACCACTTAAGTTTTGTATATTCTGTCTGAGATATCAATAGTGAATTATAAATTTAAGTTTAGGCTGTTAACCAAGTGAGCGAATAAACATCAAATAATTATTATCATAAAGATAACTAATCAAAAATTTATTCTACTTAATATCTAATAGTTTCATAATTTTTTTATTAAAATTTTCTTTTCTTTCAACATTTTAAGCTGGAAACCGTAAGCCCATTATCATATTTTTGTAAGGGATTAATACATATAAATCCCTAAACTTTGGTTAAATATACTCTGATTCAAAATTATAACTGCACCCCTATTTTTCTCAATACATATTTCATGTTCCAGTCAATTTTTCTGGAAGATTTTTTAAATTATCATATAACACCATGGGATAAGCAATATTTAATGTTGAAATGGATTTTTTAATTTATGGACGTTGAATTATTCAACTTTTTTTAAACTTTGTACCAAAAATTATAACGGTTCCAAAATTATAACCGATCTTTTGTTTTATAGGTTTCTAATAGTGGGAAAGAGTGTATTACGCTATGATCTAAAGTTTTTGTGGGTTTAACCGAAATAAATACTTAATATTCAAATTCCATAAAAAAGCTAAACGCGTTAACTATCCAAATAGGTCACCAGTTAGAAGTCTACTTTATGGATTAGGAAACAAAATTAAAAAATGTTTTTGCTTAAAAATATTCTTTAGCAGCGTCAAAAGCAGAAACATCAACATTTATAAACATAGAAACAACCCAACAACAACAACCTCTATCTCCCCAAAAATTAACAAACTCCAACAGTAATCTTTGCCTTCTCCAACCACCTCACCCCTCAACACATTTTCAACCAAAATTTCCTCGTTTAAATAGTCATCGCACCTCTGAAGTGCGCAAAATGTCTATTGTTGGGAAGCCTCTGGTTTACAAAAATTATAGAACCGATCAACGCTTTAGGCGGGTCCAGTCTAAAATGCACAATTTTCTTGAGAGACCGAGAGGGTGGAAGGCAGCAAGCTATCATTTGGCCGTGTGAGTTCGTCGAAATAAAATTTCCTTATTTTATGAATCGGGGGAAAGCAGGGATACGGCACACGGGTAAAGCTTCTGAAGATTGAAGAGAGGCCCGAAAGTGGCTCTCGTTATAGCTCCTTCTAATGCAGAAAAATTATAGTACTAGTTTCGAAATTGGGATTTTCGCCCCAATTTTCGCGAATCGGAACGGCACTTTCCCTTTTAAGTTAAACGATCTTCTTGGGGGTTTTGGAAGCGGCACGATTCTATCGAAGACCACCTGCTACCCCGAGTAATATGTACAAGAACTTTATAATTTAAAAATATTTTTTGTCTGTTTCAGTTTGGTGATGGTCCTAATGTGCCTAGCTTTGAGTGTGTTCAGCACTATACCCGAATTTGAGGAGCAAGCAACTCTCACTCTTTATTACACAGTAAGTCTAGGCGGGAAACTTCTAGAGCACCATAACGTCCACTTTTTCTCTTAGGAAATTATTTTTGTTTTTTGGTTGGCTATAGAGTATGTGTGCCGGATATGGTCTGCTGGGTGTCGTAGCAGATATCGAGGTGGAGGAATAAAAAATTTTTTTGAGAATTAATTATATCCACTATCTTCAGGTGTTGCCGGCCGTATTCGGTTTGGAACCTCTGCTTATTGCATTATTGGTATTTTAATCTCTTTGAGACTCTAATGACCCTAAATTTGTTTTCAGACATAATTGTGATAACGGCCTCTTTAGTGGTCCTATGCATGGGTGCCACTGGACAGGTATTTTGTTCAAATTTTATGGTATACGGTCAAGCCTCTTAAAAGATTTATCTAATAAAAGACGGAATTATGCCGTTTGCCTTTTCAACCAATTTTTATTTTATGTACAGAAAGGCCCGTTATTTACTCTGCAGAATTTTATAAAATTTCCCTGTCACATCATTTTTCAAGTAAAAAGTTGGGTAGAGGTAAGAAACGGCATAAGTACCTGAAAGGCACACCATTATTTATGATAAAACTCTATTTGCGATATCCCTCTAGTTAAGTACCTCCCAATAGAAGCTACATCTCTATTTAGGATACACCCCATTTAGCTGGCATTGTGTAAGTGGAGATGCTTAAGCGATAATAATATCGTAATTGGTCCACTGACATTTGACCACCTTCAACTAAACTTCGTTTCAATCTCAGGTATTCGCAGCCTCAGCCATCCGTGGCCTTCGCTTTTTCCAAATACTCAGAATGCTCCGAATTGATAGGAGGGCTGGAACTTGGAAATTACTTGGCTCAGTCGTGTGGGCACATCGCCAAGAATTGCTTTCTACTCTATATATTGGCTTTCTAGGGCTAATTTTTTCTTCCTTCCTAGTTTATCTATGCGAGAAAAACTACAATGGTAGGTAGAAGTAAAATTTTAAAGTGGAAAGTCACTTTTACAATCTTTATCCCAGCAGTCTAAAATATACAGAAAATGGTTATAGAGATAAAACGATAGAGTAATCATAAATTAAAAACCCTTTCTACTTAATGTTAACAAATACAATTATAGTTTTATTTAAATCTATTATGCTTATATTATTAATGATATTTTCGAATCGATGCCGTGTATTTTTGGATAGGAAGGCGTTCTTCCTAAATTAATTTGTATATTTTTTTATAATTAGATGATAATTATGTATGTGCTTTACCGGTCTAATTCTTAATATCTTTAGTCACAGCTTGATGGTGTTCCAAAATTTTCTAAATACGACTTTGATAAGCTGAGTTATAAACTCTGCGTTTGATAAAGTGTATTAACGCTTCCTATCTCTTCCTAAATATAAATTTTCAAAATGGCAAATCTAAAATTTAAAAATTATTTTTAGATAAATACACATCATTTGCTGATGCTCTATGGTGGGGAGTGGTTAGTTAAAATTGGAAAATTAAGATTATCCAATTAACTACAGATAACACTCTCTACCGTTGGTTACGGAGATGTTACCCCAATGACTTGGCCAGGCAAAATAATTTGTGCAGTTTCTGCACTTCTCGGAATTTCATTTTTTGCTTTGCCTGCAGTTAAATTTAACAAAAAATTTTTTAATAAATTTATTCAATAAAGGGAATACTCGGCCCCGGATTTGCATTAAAAGTCCAACAACATCAGAGGCAAAAACATTTGATTAGAAGAAGGGTGCCAGCTGCAAGGCTTATTCAGTGCTTGTGGAGGCATTATTGGTAAAATTTGTTAAATTATTTAGACTTGGAAAGAAATGCTTTTAAAAATTAAAAAAAAATTTAAAAATTTGCTTTTAAAAATTTTTAAAAAAATTTTTAAAAAAATTTTTAAAACCCAAACAGAAATCTTGAAAAAATCACAAGTTGAGGAATTTTCGCTCCCGGAACTTTCGTCTCAAAATTTTTTAAATTTTATCATACCTGGAAGTCCTCTGCTTCAAAAGGTTCCCTGTTTTATACCACCCCTAATTTTTGCCAAAAATTCTCAATTTCTATTGCCACCGACAAAGTTTTTTTGATTCTGATGTGTCGATTTTCGCATTTTTAAATAAAAAATCCGTGAAGAGCACCTCCACCCTACTCCACGTCTTAAATTGTGTCTATTAATTTATTTTCCCATACATAGTTTTGATTGTTCATAGATTTAAGCTTTTATTAATATTGTGAATAATATTGTGAAATTTTCAAGAGAATTTCATTATCTGTCTATCATTAATTAATATTTAGACTCTCTATCATTATTGCCCTTTTATAATAAATATCCATTTAGTTATGGGAAAGCTAAATTAAATAAAAAAATATTTGCGCTTATGATAAACTAAAAATTCAGACATTAATTAGTGGATTATCAATAATGAAAAGCAAAAGATTATTGCAATTTTTAAAAAAATTTTTATAAGAATAGATTTGATTTGAAGTGTACAAAAAGTTAGCCCCACTTGTCTTTCCTAGTTTAGGTGTAGTCCAAAAATTTACAAAAATTTCCTGAAACACATCTATTGATATCTTTCTATTGATACAAGATCTGTTTCATATTTGGTGAGGTATTGACGAAAACTAGGTGGCGCTATCATTTTGTTACAGAGTGGCATGCTACACTAATTAAGGATAAAATGAATATTTTATTTAATTAAAGTTTATTAAATTATTAGTTTAAAATTAAATTTCAAAATGAAATTTATTTGTTTTTTAATCTTTTTATTCTTCAATTCAATTTTATGGAGTTTAATTAATTCTGTTAAAAATAATTCAAAGCAAAAAGGTTTAACAATAAATGCTGAAAATGTTTATTCGCCAAAGGATCATGGAATGATAAATGATGAGGCTGAATCATCGGTTGCTCCTCAAATTCAAAAATATAAGGAAACGATAAACCCAAAAATTCAAATTTCGAAAAAGGACAAGGCTAAAGTTGATAAAGATGAAAAGAAGTTAAAAAAACAGCAATATGATAAAAAGAATTATCAAAAAAATAGGGAAAATTATAAGGAAAATGCTCGTAATTGGTATAAAATGAATAAGGAGAAGAGACAAATTTACTGCAAAAATAATAAAGAAAAGAATATCGAATATCATCGAAATTATTTCCAAAATAATAAAGAAAAAATGAGAGAATATCAAAGAAAATACCGTCAAAAAAAGAGAAATGAGAAGGAAATTCCACAAACTGATTCTTTAAAATTAAAAAACATTCAATCTGGTAATGAAGGATGTTCTTTTGATAATCTACAGATTGGTGATTGTAGCGATAAGGCGAAATTACCAGTTATTCCCGAAGGGGACTTTCAGACTCAAAAAGGGAATCATCCTCAAGGAGGGGAAGAAGAAAATAATACGAATGAAGTAGAAACTTTTGTGGATGAGCAAAATGAAACTGCTGTGGAAGAGCCAAATAAACTTGGTGAAAATGAGATGAATCAAATAAATTTGAATGAGTATCCTTTTGATTTGAACGAGAAACCTGAGGAGGAAGAAGAAGATATTTAAAACTGAAGGTCAAATATAACGAAAACTGAGAGAATTTCAAATTGAATACAAATTATTTATTAAATATTTACTCTTTACTATCCGATAATCTGCAAAAATTCATAACTTTTTAAATGTAAACTTTGCACATTTTTAAATCTTATTCTATTAATTTCAAAGAATTAATAGGAAATAATATAAAATCTTAAAAAAATTACTGGGATTTTCATTGACACTGGCGAAAAAGAATTTTATAATATTTTTACAAGCTCAAGTAATTCGAGATCATGACTCAAACCCAATAACCCAAAAATTGTAGTTAAGTCAATACTCAAGACTAGAGATCGGACCGTACCGTACTACGGCCGTATTTTTCGGTATTTATCGGTATTCCGTATCGGTAGTACGGTACGGAATACGGTACCGATGAAAAATATCGGTATTTGTCGGTATTTCTCGGTATTTATCGGTATTACAGTCGGTAATACGGTACGAAATACGGTACGGCAACATTTTTAATTTCATCGGTATTTTTCGGTATCGGTATTTTTCGGTATTACGGTACGGAATACGGTACGACACAAAATTCCGATCTCTACTCAAGACCAAGAGTTACAGCTCTATCTTCTATTACTGGGCCTAATTGTGTTTTCTATTTAGTAATTTTTTACCTCCTTTCCTTTTATTTCAAAATTTGTTTTTCACATATTTTAATGTTTAAGATATTGTGAAATTGTCATTCACACACAATTTCACATGAAATTGTCATTCGAATTTCATAATCTGTCTATCATTAATTAATATTTCGACTATATATCTATATTGCCCTTTTGTATTTGTGTAATTATATTATCCATTTCTTTAGATATATGGCTAAATAAAATAAATATTCATATTCCCGTTATAATAAAATAATAAATAATTTTATTATTTTAAATATTATTTAGTCTAACATGTAATTTTAATTGTTAATTAACACAAAATTAGTTTTTTTTGAAACTAAAAATTAATTAATTTATTTATATTAGATTATTAAACAATTAATTTACAAAATGAAATTTAATAGTATTTTAATATTTTTAATTTACAATACGATATTATGGAGTTTAATTAATTCTGTTAAAAATAATAAAACTCAAAACGAGTTAGCTAGAGTTGAGAAACCCTCAAAGGATTTAACTGAAATGTTAAATGATGGGTCTGAATCATCGGTTGCTCCTCAAATTCAAAAATATAAAGAAACGATAAAACCAAAACCTAAAATTGTAAAACAAGACAAAAGTAAATATACGGATGAAGATAAAAAGTTAAAGAAAAAAGGATATACTAAAGATTATTACCTGAAGCATAGAGAAAAGATTATCGAAACTAGTCGAAACTGGAATAAAATTAATAAAGAGAAAAGGCAAGTATATCGAAATAATAATAAAGAAAGGACGAGAGAATATGATCGAAAATATCGACAAAATAATAAAGAAAAAAGGACAGAATATCAACGAAGATACCGTCAAGAAAAGAGAAATAAAAAGAAAATTCTACAGAATGACGGTTCAAAATTGAAAAATATTAAAACTGGTAATGAAGGATGTTCATTTGATAATTCAGTGGCAATTGATTGTAGCGATAAGGGAAATTACCAGTGATTTGCGAAGAAGAATTGCAGACTGAAGGCGGAAATCTTCTTCTTCGAGGAGAGGAAGAAGGAGAGGAAGAATTTATTCCACTTCCTCAAAGAGAGGAAGAAAATAATACGGATAAAGTAGACACCTTTGTAGATGAGCAAAATGAAACTGCGGTGGAAGAGCCAAATAAACTTGGTGAAAATGACATATATCAAATAAATTTGAATGAGTTTCCTTTTGATCTGAACGAGAAACCTGAGGAGGAAGCAAACGATATTTAAAAATGAAGAAATAATAGAAAAACTAATGCCGAGAGAATTTATAATTAAACGCAACTATTCATATGTGTCTGATTTTTTTAGAATTCAAAGAATAAATCATTTTTATCGTATAAATTCAAAAATTTGCTCTTATCATAATGTCAGCATTAAATTCTAGCAATGCTCTTCTCCTTCTCTCCTTTTCTTCTCCCTTTGCTTTCTTCTTTTCTCCTCCCTATGATTTTTGAGATAAAACGAATTCGATTGATCTGATTGGATTTAATATGGATTCAACTGGGGAAGCTAGGAAATTTAAAAAATCAAATAATATTGAAATAGAAAAATTTAATTATAACATCTAGAAAAAAATATACAAAAATATTAATTTTTTGTCTTAATTTATTAAAAATACCGGTCTAAAAGGCTTTGAAAATAGTAGTAATTATTCCCATTAAGACCTGATCAAATTATATATCTTTTGATAGTTATATGGAAGATAGTTGTCTACACGATAAATAGGAATACTACAAAATCAAAATACATATTTGAGACTCAGCTCGAAATTGACCGATTGACAAAGTCCGGTCAAACTTAGAAATATATTCTAAACCACCTCAAAAAATTAAAAAGTAATGAAGAGATCGTAAGAATAATAGAATACTTTTCCCAAGAGGAACTACTTTTCAAAAGTTTGGGGAAATAAAACGACATACTTTAGAAACATTTAGAGCCTCTAGGGAGCGTAGTGAACCGGTGTAATACAGCTTTTAATAATTATAATCTTTCACTGTACCAGCATAGGAAGAATACTTAATGAAACTCATTTCATGTTTTCGGCTCCATTTTTTAAAGACTTCATCCGCTATGCTTGAAAACTTTTCGGATTTTTGGGATTAGTAGAGATTTCTATTTACGACTCCTTCCAAATATCGTTTTCGAAACGAAAATATCTTTAATTTGCAACAGTAGCAAGCCCTCGTTAATTCGTTGTTCTTGTTGTACCATAAATATATGCGTTGACCATTTTATTTTAGAACCTCATCGTTGTAATCGTTAAAATTAAATGAATAAATCATTGTTAAAAATAATTGTTTAATAGGGAAAACAAAGGCGGGAGAAAAAAACCTCTATAACTTTTCGAATTGGTGGTAGCGTCCTAGTCACTCACCGCACTAAGTTGTAGAGGTCCTAAAGAAATTTTAAATACATTTTATTTTGTAATAATAGGACAGTGTACTTTCATTTCCGAAATTTGCTTTTCCCATAATGATTTAAAGGAAATTGTTTACTTAATAAATGCCCTTTGATTTTTCATAAATGTCTGTCTTTAAGTCATATTCCGGCTTAAGCTTTAATTACATTTATTAATTTAAATAATAAATAATATTAAGTGTCAAAGTTTAAGTTAATAATTATTTCTTTATTATTTTTCGTTATAAACAAATTAACCTTTAAAAATTTTTAAAAATTAATTCAGGATGAAACTTATTAATATTTTATTCTTTTTAATTTTCTATTCAATATTATGGAGTTTAATTAATTCTGTTAAAAATAATAAAAATCAAAATGAGTTAAATAGAGTTGAGGAACCCTCGAAGGATTTAAATAAAGAATTAAATGATGGGGCAAAATCATCGGTTGCTCATCAAATTCAAAAATATAAAGAAACGTTAAAACCAAAACCTAAAATTGTAAAACAAGACAAAAGTAAATATACGGAAGAAGATAAAAAGTTAAAGAAAAAAGGATATAATAAAGATTATTACCAAAAGCATAAAGAAAAGATTATCGAAACTAGTCGAAACTGGAATAAAATGAATAAAGAAAGAGTCCAAATTAACCTCGAAAAGAATAAAGAAAATAAGAAAGAATATGATCGAAAATATCGACAAGATAATAAACAAAAAAGGATGGAGTATCAACGAAGATACCGTCAAAAAAAGAGAAATGAAAAGAAAATTCTACATAATGACGGTTCAAAATTGAAAAATATTAAAACTGGTAATGAAGGATGTTCTTTTGATATTCAACTGATTGGTGATTCTAGCAACAAGGCGAAATTACCAGTTATCTGCGAAGAGGACTTTCTGACTGGAGAAGGAAATCTTCCTCAAGGTGAAGAAAAAGAAAGTAATACGGAGGAAGTAAAAACTTTTGTTGATGAGTTAAATCAAATTGTGGTGGAAGAGCCAACTAAACTTGGTGAAAATGTCATAAATCAAATAAATCTAAATGAGTATCCTTTTGATTTGAACAAGAAACCTGAGGAGGATTAAGAAGATTTTTAAGGACAAAGACTGCAAAATAAAGATTGCTGAGAAAATTTATGATTAAATACAATATACATACATATGCATCAAATTTTTAGATACTTCTAAATGTATTAAATGTGTGCTTCGTTTAATATTTTTTAATTTTTTTCTTCGTTTAATACTGAAAAATTCATCTATATTTTTGTTGATTTCATAAAGGATTTAATGGTTCTGATTCGAACCAAGTTTTGGTGTAGTGGTGTCAGTAAAGTATAAAATCTACACGATAGTTAGTTCTCTCTCTTCATTCTTTTCCTATATCTACAATCTTCATCTACTTTTTTATTTCGTGGTGAGGTGCGATAGATCTCGTGTAAGAGCTCGGCAACTTCAGTTGTAACAGACTTGGCGCGAATGACAAAAGCAGGAGGACAAAAGAGATAGTCAACAGCTTCAGTTCTAGGATTGTACTATTGTATGGATTGTATGAGCATAACTAAAATGTGCCTAAGCTTTGTTTGCACTTTATTTAAAAGAATAAATAACTAAATATAAGTTTATAAAATATTAAAATATAGTGAAGTAAGCTGTAGCTGTTAAACATACATATTACATATCGGCGGATGTAAATTCGTAAAGTATTGAAGACGAAAGTTCCGAAGGACGAAAACCCTTCAAACCAATATACATACATATGCTAAATACAAAAATATTAAGGAAAAATTTTTCAAAAACAATAAATTTATTTCAGTGCTCAACCCGAAAGCAGAAGCCAGGCAACCTGGAAAGTCTATTTGCAGCCTGCTCCGATAATGTAATTTTTTTAATATTTTAAATTATTTATTCACATACACTCCGTTATATAATTTTTGTTTTACTCACTTACCCTGAGACTTGAGGACTCGACATTTGATGATTTTTCGATAATAAGGGTTACAAAGCTAAGCTTAAAATAGAACCATTTTAACAAAAAAGATCAAAATTTGCTAATTTTTGAAATAAAGATGGAATCTAGTTATTCAAAAAGTATAAAATCCCTATTAAAAAGAGTAAAATTAGGTTTGTTGCGGGCGGTTATCCGGAAATGGACTTCGTTAATCGGGATATTCGATAAATGCATATTTATCCCGATTTTATAACAATAATGATCAAATGTCGAGTTTTCAAAGGTCAAAGGCAACATACTCACTTTTCTTTTTTTCACAATACAGTCATATCACTTTAAGTCACTCACTGGCACAATGGAAAGTATACATAAACACATTTAGCACCTCTTTAAAATAAAGTTATATCTGATATTAGAATGAGAGTGACATACAAGTGATGCCAGGAGAGTGAAATTTTGTGTTAATGTGAGGGTGACATACAAGTGCAGTGGTACTGTAGTTAGACTTAATAATCTACATGTATAGTTAGATAAAATTCAGAATTTCCCGAAGCCCTATAATTATTTTAAGAATTACAGATATCCCCAAAGCACGATGCACAATTTCACTCACAAACACTTTCTTTTGTTTCAGTCCTTGCAACAAACCACAAAAACAAGCAAAATCTACTCAATCTTCTATTAAAGCCTTTACTTCTTGCCGCAATCTTTCCTTGCGTCTTCGACGCTCCCTAGGCTTGATACAAGCAAATAGACCTCAACAAGTTGAAATCGTTGCTTTAGAGAGTGGAGGAGAGGAAGGGCGTCCTTCTAAAGTGAGAAGACGTTCAAAAGTCAAAGGAGTCCAGACAGACATTCCACCAAGCGTAATGGTGTCGTTGCCTTTGATTGAGCTGGGAATGAAACGACAAAGGCTACTAAACATTCAAAATGTTGAGGAAGGAGAGGAATGTTCCCTTCACTCCAGCTCGTCCTCCTCTACTAATTCAACTTCAAATTCTTTAATATCAGGGGATGGAAGAGAGGAAAAGTTGGAAGAGGGGGATAAAATGTCACTTTTGAAGAAAAAGGCGTCTTTAAGACAGCAGTCAATGCCTGAGACGGCGTTTGATGCGACGGAGTAAGCTCAACCTTTTTACTATTTAACTCAAAAATTATCAAGTTTTCAAGGGCACAAACCTGAAGTTAGCACATTAATACATTTTGTTTTTTATCACTATCACTTTACGCACAATGGCACCTTAACTTTAAAATCATTTTTCGATTACAAGGAGAGGGAATCTCCGAGTATTCGAAATCGAAAACCTAACCGAAAATTTAGGATAACCGAAAACGTCTCTGATATTTGAACAGAAATTTCCGTAAATCAGGTCTCTTTTCGGTTCCAGATACAAAATCGTATACAGAGTGACCCAAAAGCAACCTGCACGCGTTTTCTGGCATATCTTTCTTCAAATTAAAGGCGTATGAGTAGGGTTGTCGGTTTCAAACCTAACCGAAAAACCGAAATTTTCGGTTCGGTTTTTCGGTTCGGTTTCGGTTAACCGAAGAATTTGGTGAAATTAACAACCCTACTTATGAGATAGTAAACTACCTCATAGATTAACAATGCTGGACACCTATGATACATTAAAATCTACCTTTCATTTCAGAAGAATCAGGCCTTGTGTATCTGCCCCTAACGGTCAAAACAACAGTTTAATCAACCGAATAAGGCAAAGTGCCAGAAGAAAACCGCCTCCTGCCCCATTAAGTACTGATTTTGGAGCTGAAGGTTAATTTGGATTTTTGATAATTATCAAAATGGCATTTTAATAAAACATTTTTAGATGATACACCGACAGACACACTTTGTGGTGTAAATGTCAGGACTTTGTTTGTACCTAACAGACCTCCTGATAATATAAGGCAATTAGATTGAGGAAAGATTCCGTCACATTTTCCATAATCCGAAATTGACCAAAATGTGGCATTTTAAGGGCTCGATGAGCAAGTCGAAGACTCTATATTAAGTTTTAGTCCCAATTGGAGGTCTCAAAATGGTCAAACATACAAAAGTGTGTCTAGGGTTGGGGTATTCTGAAAAATCCCCGCATAGGGAACCAACCGGACTTTCTAACCAACCGGATTTTTTGGTCTAAATTCGTATATGCGAATGATAGCCCATTTGACAGAGATTGTCTTTCAATGACAAATTGTTCGTCTCAATCGGATTATGGGAGACAGACGGAATTTTACCTACACCTTAAATATTAAAAATTTATTTAAATTATTTTGTAGCATTGTATCAGCTTCAGATACACTTAGTGAAATTGAAAGTTTGGGTGCTTTAGGATTTTCACTTGGAAGTTGGCGTAAGAGCAGTAGTAACAAGAGCAACAATAGAAAGTAAATTTTGTTAAGTATTAGTATTTTGATTTTTGAATTTATATAAGAATTTTGTATGATAATAAACCAGAATTCTGATTTTTATAAATTTCAGAAATTTTCTTTTTCAGCAGTTATTCCCACCACAAAAAGAGCATTTCCGCCTTGGCAATGTCCACAACTTCAGCTATTATGGATAGTGACTGTGGACAACATCGTCCCGTGGGGAACAGTTCTTCCCTAGGTACACTTACAGGTCTCTAAAATACGTTTTTATGTTTTTTTTAAATTTCCCCTATGCTTTTTGCACATAATAATTAGTTCAGTCAACTCCCTTAATAAGTCAACGGCGCAGGGTCATTATTGAGTAGCTTACTGTAGATTGAGATAAAGTATAAATTTTGTCAACGTTTGAAGGAAATTGACGTCGGACTGTGGATGGGTCAGATTTCCATATTTTAAAACATCTACGCTCCTCTCTGATATTATGCGGGAGTTGACTACTAATTAACAAAGCTGAAAAAATTTCCCTAAAAGGCTTGTTAACGCGTTATTATCTAACAATTCAGACTGCAGTGCATTAATTTTTAAATGGCCTAGTTCCGGAGTCCCTCCCGTGAATTTGAAAAAATAGGGATATAGAATAGTAATATCTTTTTTATGAAACATTTCAGCTCCCCCAAATGCTCATCCTCCACCCAAACAACGCCAATTCAAAAATTTACTACCTCGTCGTCCATCAACCTCACCGGAAGAAAGAAGATATAAATCCTCGAGTCCAAAACTTGCTGGTTATTATAAAACCCTTTCTAAAGGAACTAAAATTTTCTAGAAAAATCAGACGAAGAAAAACAGCCAGAAGCCTCAGAAAAGGACATAAACCCTCGAAAGCCTTGCCGGTCATTTTCTGCTGCGGATCCAGCCACCCTCCTTCTAGGCGATTTTTGGATGGCACCTTGGCTAGAATGGATAGCGAGGGAACGTGCGGGAGGGATAAACACAGGGAATGGAGGGAACGACAATAATGGGAATGATGGGAATAATAATAACAACAACAATGGAGGAAACGAGGACTCCTCAGTGTGGGGTCAGTTCACTGCATGTGCACCTCTCCATCAGCGACGGGGTCAGGACCGTCGGCGCCTATCCAATGAATACGTGTCCGGTAAAATAAAAAGAAAAATTAGTAAATTGCAAGTGCGCAGTCTTTATCGCATTATTATTTAATAGTCTTGTAAGTAGACGAAGAAAAACAACTAGAAACCTCAGAAAAAGACTTGTTAAAGAGGTGCTTTTGGTTTAAGCTACATTTTAAGTAAGGGCATTCTTTTAGCTTATGGTATGGTTACATAAAGGTCGTATAACGTCTTTCGACTGAAAATATTATTAAAAAGGAGTAGTAAACCCCCCCCATACGCCCACATGTCGCATGTGAGATGGGGGGCAGGGGGAAGGGGTTTTCTGCTCCCATCCGTCCCAGTGGGACCGATGGGTGTTGGGAAGGAAATGACCTTGAAAATTTCTTGTACAAGTACAAGCAAATTTTGCGGCTGAATGGGGATGATAAGGGAAGTGGGGGAAGTTAACTGTAACTAAATTTCTCTGTTGTCCCACATGTCCTAGTGAGAAATTTGGGAACTGGCGGTAAAACAAAAGGAAACCTTTGCTTGTACAAGTACAAGCAAATTTGTGGGTGGATGAAGATGATCAAAGGGGGAAGTGGGGGAAGTTAACTGTAACTAAATTTCTCTGTTGTCCCACATGTTCCAGCTAGGAATTGGCGGTAAATCTAAAGGAAACCTATCAAAAGGAAACCTTTTCTTGTACAAGTTTCCGCTATTAATTTCTCCCTTTCCCACATGTACCAGTGGGAAATTTGGGAGAAACTTGCGGGAAAACAAAAGGAAACCTAATGATTTGACAAACCTTTGTCTCTATGTGAGGGTATAAGTAAAGGAAAAACAAAAAAACATTAAACAAAAAATTAAAAAATAAGGGGAAAATAAAGATATTGACGTTTTTCCCTCTTCCAAGGTCATTTGCGGGAAAAATTAAAGAATAAACATTTAATTGTTAAATCCAGGGCTCGGATCGACAAAATGCCAATAAAAAGTACAAAAATCTTGATTTTAAAGTACATAGGGGCAAAATTTCCACATTTAAAGTACACTCAAAATTAAATTAGAAAACATTTATTCGTGCTCAAATCTTTTATATTTCTCTCTTAAATTAATCTTTTCTAATAATTTCTTGTTTCAACTTACCATTTTGTGAATTTCAATGCACTTTTTTGTGGAGCCGAAGGCGCCAAAAAATCTATTTTTTGCGCCGCAGGCGAAAATTTTGAGAATTTTGGAGGTCCTTAAGCCAGATTTCTTCCATTTTTTGCGCCGCAGGCGAAAATTTTGAGAATTTTGGAGGTCCTTAAGCCAGATTTCTTCCATTTTTTGCGCCGCAGGCGAAAATTTTGAGAATTTTGGAGGTCCTTAAGCCAGATTTCTTCCATTTTTTTCAAAATGTTGATTTTAAAGTACATACTTTCAATAAAGTACAAATTCAATTTCGTAAGTACGGAGGTCGATTTTAAAGTACTGTACTTTCAAATAAAGTACGAATCCGAGCCCTGGTTAAATCTTTATTTTTCTGTTTGTGGAAATTCTTCTAAAATTAAAAAAATTAAAATTTCGTAAAGTTTTTCGAAATTCGAGATAAAAATTTTAAAAATCTTAATAAAAATTGGAATTATAAATAATTTAAATTTATTGGTTAAAAATTTATTTTCTTTATTTTTCAATTTTTTTCGTTTAAAATAGTCCGCAGATAAAGTAGTTAGATTAAATGGGCACTTTTAATCTAAATCCTGAATCTTTAATTTTTTTTATTTATTTTTACACATATTGAAAAAATATTTTTTTAAGTTCAATTTTTTAAATTTATTTTTTATTTAGAGAAATAAGAAGACAAGAGTAGACCTCAAATCTACAGATATCCATCTTAATCCCTTTAAATCACCCGATATTAAGAGTGTTTAGAGATTTGTAGGCATATTTCCTGGTTACCCTCCAAATCTGTTATCCACAAAATTTATTCCCTCAATTCCCCCCAACAAAATTTCCCTGTATTCCACCAATATGACCAAATTCTTTTTCTGCGCCGCAGGCAAAAAATTTGAAAAATTTGAAAGACAATTAAGTATGATTTCATCCATTATCTGCGCCGCAGGCGAAAATTTTGAAAAATGTTGGGGATCTCACGCCTGAGGTGTGGAGCTCCGGCCCAAGGTGTGGAGCTCCAGCCTACGGTGTGGAGCTCCGGCCTACGGTTGGAGCTCCGGCCTGAGGTGTGGAGCTTCGACCTGTGCTGAGCACATAATTTCTTATATTTTTGCGGCGCATTTGTACATTTTGAAAATTTTAGAAGGCCAAGCATTTAGTTTCTTGCAAGTTTAACAATTAGAAGATAAAATTCACGTAAAGTTAAACAAAAGATGATAAAATTATGTAATGATAAGAGACGGAAGGCGTAGATTTTGAGAATGTTACTGTAAAGTTAAGCACTAAAAGATACTATTGATGTAAACTTAAGAATTACAAGATAAGATTGCTGTAAAGTTAAGCAATAGAAGAAACAATTGATATGATGTTAAGGAATGAAAGATATAGGTTTTGGGGGTAGAAATGCAAAGTTAAGCATTATAATATAAAATTTATGTAAACTTAACGATTAGAAGATACAATTTATATAAACTTAAGGATTAAAAGTTAAAACTGGTGTAAAGTTAAGATAAATAGCAAACATTTTTGGTAAAATTAATCAAAAAATAATTGGTAGATGCGAATCTTTGGCGTGTGCATTGCGTCTATATGGGGAATGTAACAATATGCGGACTTTCATTGTTGTGGTAGTGCATGATTGTAGACACGACATTATCTTTTGCACGCATAATATAATGGCATAAATTACGATATAGAGTAGAAACCTTATGTAAAGTTAAGAGATTTAATATAAAATTCTTGTAAAGTTAAGAGTTAGACGATACAATTAAAGTAAAGTTAAAAGATAAAAGACACAATTAATTTTAAGTTAAGAATTGGAAGATAAGGTTGTTGAAAAGTTAAGAATTACAAGATACAATTCAGTAAAAGTTAAGGAATGAAAGATGTAGGTTTTTGGTGCAGAAATTCAAAGTTAAGCATTATAAGATAAGATTTGCGTAAACTTAAGGATTAGAAGATACGATTTATATAAACTTAAGGATTAAAAGTAAAAACTGATGTAAAGTTAAGAAAAATAGCAAGTATTTTTAGTAAAATTAATCAAAATATAGATCAAATGCATTGGTACACACGAATGTTTGGCGTGTTCATTGCGTCTCTCGTAAATTCACGTTCTCGATTCCCGTATTTTTCTTGAAAATCGGGAATTTTCTGTAATTTTCCTATTATATCTGGCGCTGAAAATGGGTGAAATCTGGCCTATTGTCCTTACAAAATTCTCAAAATTTTCGCCTGTGGTGTTAAAAAAGTAAGAAATATGTCAGTCGATCTACTGAAGCCGATCAACTGAAGAACAGCTGGTCAACTGAAGATACTAGCCTTAGCCCTAGCAACCTTAGCCCTAGCAATTAGAGGAGTTGGAGGGCCGTAGGTTGATTAAAGTTACTCTTAATCGCTTTTAATAACCGTAAATTTATTCTTTTATTAAAAGGCACTACGAATGTTTAGATAGTAGCACCTTCTCTACCTCAATTTCTGGCATTGATATCCGCCATTGACTAGCAAAAATCCTGTAAGTCAGAAAATCATGAATCTCGACGTTTTTTAAACGGGAAATTTTTCCAAAAAATTCAATTTTTCTCGAGAATCACGATTTCCCTAAATCGGGAATTTTGCTTTGGATCTGTATCGGATGTGTGTCTTTATGCAAACCTAATAAGTTTATGGTTAGGACAGTGAGTATAGCAATTTGTCACAGTGAGTTAGCAAATTGTCTCCGTAAATATATTCTGATAACTTAGGAGATTATTTTTAACAATTATTATTATTATTAACTGTTTAACAGTAAAAATTTAATCTTATTCATTTTCATATATTTTTCAATCATTCCTATTATTTCATCTAACCGATTACTCGGGTTGAATTAATTAATTTTACTAAATTCCATATGTGGTACCCAGCCCAGGTCCCTAAAATAAGGTGGTTAGGTAACAATCGTAACAACAGCGCCGATGTGGCCTAACGCCGCGGGTTTAACGTCGCTGTTTTTCTTATTTTTCCCTATTGAAAAACGATAACTTTTTAATTTTTACCAAAATATAAATTGGAGTATTATCTTTGATTTCAAAAATTAAAACAAGGATTAATTTTTCTTAAAAATCACTAAAAATTGGGTACTTTTAGTTAAAAATTCTTATAAATAGTTTTAAAGACAAACTTCCAAAAATTTTATAAAAAAATATAGGAACGTTAAATTTATCTTCAAATTTCGATTTTTAATGATTTTTAAAAAATCTTCCATAATGCTCCTTAGCAGGGTAGAAAAATAGAACGGGAAATCTATCGTTGTATAATTTTCCTTCTTCTTTTCTTCCTTATTTTTCGGCGCAGACACTTCTCCCTTCTTTTTAAATTATGGGAGAAAAGTTGGGCGCAAGTAGGCCACGTTTGAAGAATAAACTGATATTATAGTCGCCTTTTTTCACAAAATACACCGATATCTTCTTATTCATCGAAATCAACTATAAACTCGTAATTCCTGATATTTATTCAAATGCTTTAACACTCTAGATCCTTTTATATACTCGCTACTTCTCAAACCACTATCCTCCTAAACACTCGTATACTTTCAGTGTTCAATAATTTTTTAAAATAATAACTTTAGATTAACATTACCTGAGGATATATGCAATATTGATAATTGATTAAAATATTAAAAAACAAGATATATTATCGTTTTAAATTTATTTTTAAATTTTGCAACGTGTAGATCTTTTTTGCAGATATCAAAATTATTTTATTATATATTAAATGGAATAAATAGAGTTTAAAATATTTGTTTATTGGGAAATTCTGCATAAACTTGAGAATAAAGCATGAGTGAAATGTTCTAACCTTTACAAAAATTTTATATCTGCTTAATACAATTGAATTTTTTCTGCTTAAGCCT